ACATACTAAAAAAAGCTACCAATATTTCTAAACAAACATAATATCAATTTCATTGCAATAAATGGCTAAATCTACTTGAGTTCAAACAATATTAAAATGCCCTAAATTGCACGAGCTATTGGGTAATGGACTCAAACTTTGTTTATCAGAGCTGCCTTCGCTGAGAGATTGTTTACGATATGGAATTTTGTTGCGTGATAGATCAGTTACACATTTTGATACAAGATGTATGTGTATACAAATATTTATTAAAATAAAAAGTATTTGGATGTCAGCAAATTCTACAATCCTGTTGGTCTCATAAAAATATGCAGTCGATTAACTTGTCCTTGAATAGAACATTGCAAAAGACTTTCGAAAATTGAGAACTACAAAAAAAAAAATATATGTATACAGACAAACTTGATAAGTTATTTGACTTGACAAAATGTAAGTGTAAAATCTTATACTGTAATGAAAATGGATGCAATGGTTGTCTTTTTAAAGCTCATGTAAATTGCATATGTCCAAAAGTAGCAGTTACCTTTGCAAGAACTATTTTTCCTACAAGCTCTAAGAAATAAAATTGGTAACAAAAGTTCTTTACAAATAGGATTAGTTAATATATCAGAGACACATGGTTATCAAGATATTTCGGTAGAAAAGAATCAGACTTTAAAATACCTGGAGCAAATAGTGAGGATATAGGTAAATGCTAAAATATTTAAAATATTTTTGTCAATTTTTGACTGTGAATTAAAAAATTGAGCATAAATTATTTTCATTAAAATTATTTAACATAATTTATTTTCTCCTTATGCAGTAGAATTTCAAATAACAGACGATTTGGACATTGGCAACAAAAAAAGTAAATAATACAGAAAAAGCTGACTTCAGTTTGAAAAAAAATTACATAGATATTACCAGGGTTTCCAAGCAGCTATTAAGTATGGGGTATCTAACAGAGCTGCAACAGCCATAGCTACTGCTACTTGAGCTTCTGTAAAAAAATTTTTTAAAGATAAATGCTAATATTTTCGTTGATCACAACAAAATAAAACGAAGTAAGACTAAGATAATGAAAGAAATCTGAGGTAGAGCTGAAACAGTAACAATGAATGATAATATTCAATGTTTATTTTTTGATGGGCGAAAAAATTTAACTAAGTACATGAGAGAAAAAGAAGATAGAAAATTACATCCATCAGAAAAAAAAGAACCTTATTCAGTTTGTTCTGAACCTGGAGGAAAATACCAATTTCATTTCACTAACAATTCTGAAGAAAGAGTAGAGGCTGCAGCTGAGCAAATAGCTGATAATCTTTACAAATGGATTGCGAATCATGATGTTGGAGACTATTTAGTTGCCATTGGTGCAGACTCAACAAATTTAAACACTGGTTGTAAAGGAGGTGCTATCCACTACCTTAAACATAAATTGGATAATAAACTAATGTGGATAATTTGAGCTCTTCATACAAATGAACTACCTCTCCAACATCTTATGATTCAGCTTGATGGAAAAACTGCATCTAAAAATAATTTATCTGGTTCTATTGGAAAACTTAAAGGTAAGGCAACTAGCTTCAAAGTCAAAGATACCATAATAAAAATTGAATTTCCTAATACAATAATAGAACTTGACTCTCAAGTTGTAAAATCGCTACCAGATGATCAAAAGTATCTTTATTAAATTACCCATGCAATTAACGCTGGGATTTTTCCAGAAAATCTTAAAGGTAAAGAAATTGAGCCACATTCGCATGCAAGATGGTTGAATTTTGCAAATAGAATATGTTTACTTTGGTGCTCTGAAATCGTACTTTCAGTTAAAGAAACATAATCTTCAATTTATGGTGGAGTTTATTGTTGGAGTTTATGCGCCACTTTGGTTTGAAATCAAAGTAAAGTGGAAACTACAAAACTACAACAACAAAACGTACACTCACCTTAGACTCCTGTATTTTGTTAGATGCAGTGTTTTTCCTAATGCACTTCCAAAATGTCATGCCTGGTTTTCTCAAAGTACTGTTGCAGGAAGTAACTCCTTTTAACTACTCCAGGTCAGGTCAGGATAATCGAGATCAATCTTGCTACTGGTATCACGTAAACCAGTACCACCTGCCACAAGCCCTGCTGCCTTGCAGAGTGTGCTCTTCTTATGCAAAGGCTAGGAAAAATAAACTCCGACTAAAAATTCCCCTGCCTTGGGGCTCTTGGTTGAGTAAAGGCTAGAGATGGTGTCTCGATAAAAACACTCATCTTGGGCAGATGTTAACTGCATCCAGCTAAACATCCCCTGCCTTGGGGCTCTTGGTTGAGTAAAGGCTAGAGATGGTGTCTTGATAAAAATACTCATCTTGGGCAGATGTTAACTGCATCCAGCTACTGTCTTGTAGAAGGCCTCCTAGGCAAAGACTTTAGGGGTAAGCAGAAAAATTTGCTAACCAGCCTCGAACCCCTTCTTCATCTATTAGGCTGGCGTAGATGTAACCTGTGTTACATTGTTTCCTGCCTAGGA